TCAATATATAGTTAGAGTAACTGTAATCCGTAAACGAATATTTTAGTCATAAAAAGTTCTGAAAGTCCCAAAAACTTTGTGTGTTTAAATATTAAGATATTACGGAATGACACTTTTGTTACAGGAATTGTACCTAAGCAGGAGCAATGTTATGACAATGAATTTATAATCCCGCGAATACAGTAAATACATATTTTGGAAGAGTTACCAAAAATTTAATACCGTAATCCACCCCTGATAAAATGAGCAACTAACATATTCACGTGCGGATATTTTATTGTTATCATTATTATTACTATTATTGTATTCATAGAAGGTAATCGCATAGCAGGAACATACATAAAATTAATCGTACTTTAAGAAGTCGATAATGTCTTAATTAAGTATTCAATGTTCCCCGGTAGATGGTTATCGTATTTTGTATGTATTATTTTGTATTTGTATTGAGTGGCACACAGTGTATACTAGCCAACATGTTTCATGATTCAACGTCAACAAATATATGAAGTTACAGAGAGAATATCATAAATTATACACAAAAACAGTGCGATTATTTTATTGGCCGATGTCTGACATGTTTTTTCCTGCCATACTATTAATTCATAACGATTACATTCATTTGTTAAAACATTCAATACCACATATTATTATGCATACAATATACTAGTTGAGCTATGTTGCAATGTTATACATTTATATTCATTCATTATTTTTATCAGATCAACCGCATATTATTCTAATATTTGTGGATGACATGGGATGGAATGACGTACATTGGCACAACCCTGATATCGCAATGCCCAACTTGATGGATCTCGCCGCAGATGGCGTCATCTTCAACCAATCATACACCCATCCAACATGCACACCGTAAGTGATAATATCGTTATTGTGCATGAAATTAAGTTTAGTTCAATATTAACATGCGTAATTATATAACAGCGAATAGGTTGATGTCGAATTTCAGTGTCGAGCTTGAATTTTAAATCCCGGGCAAATAGTCTCTATGTATATGCAATATACACCTGGTTTGTTAATATATATATATATTTATATGTAATTATTTAGATCAAGAGCTGCTATGATGACAGGATTGTATCCTTTCAAAACAGGAAATCAGGTAAGAATTATTTTTTTTATTAGAATTTAATTTGTATTCAATGTACCTGGCTTCGCAGATATTATATATATACATACAATATGTACATATAATGTAAATTATAGGAGGTTCACGTATCCTTGAAAATGACTTCACAAAACAAATATGTCCAATTATTTGAATGTTTCTTATGATTGTTGACTTAATTCTCAATAATTAATTAAAAAATAACATCTTATACATATTTATTTACAGCATCAAATGGTGTTCAACCTTCATCCTAGCGGGGTTCCATTGAATTTCAAGCTTTTACCTGAAAAACTTAAAGAAGTTGGATACGCTACTCATATGGTTGGAAAGTAAGTAGACCATAGCATATATCACATTGAAGATGCGATTGCAATACTGAGAGCCTGATCTAATAATTCGCGGCATTATTATTATTATTATTATTATTATTATTATTATTATTATTATTATTATTATTATTATTATTATTATTATTATTATTATTATTATTATGTTATTTGTATTTTCAAACTAAATACATACAAATTATACGAGAACTTAAATTAAATCACATGCTATACGGTATATAATATATATTTGTTTCTTCAATATGAAATGTTTTTTTTTTTTTTTAAATTTAGATGGCATTTAGGGTTCTGTAAGGACGAGTATCTACCAACCAATCGTGGTTTTGACTCTCACTATGGTCTATGGACATTGGGTGTCGGTGATTACGATAAATTGAATGGAGTGCTATGTAAGTTAAATATTAGTAACATTATTTTGAATGGGTACATTGTTTCATTTACTTCGAATATGTGATATACACATGTTTTTATAACAAACACAGCAATGGGCATGTGGAGTTCATAATGAACCCTAACACTAGATGATATACGTCGGCTTTTAGATCACTATGTAATCCTACATTATATATGATTATGAATACGAGAGTAGAGATATTATTCCACGGTTTTGATGTATTATGAGGAAGGGTCAATTGAGATGGGAATTTGACGAGTTAACTTTGAATTGATTTTTCTTTCCAGCTCCTTCTGCAGGATATGATTTCCGTGATAACATGGGAGTAGTACCAAAAAGTGACGGTTATCTTGCAGTGAGTATGATTAATATTATTGTTATAAGCAAATGTCTTTGGCATATAGTTTTTGAGATTAGAACGCGCTGTACACATGTATTGATAGACAACTTCTTCTTTATATTTATGGGCAACTTCGGTGAAGAATGATAGCACACTTTTGGTGAAAATTTGAAAAAAAATCAACAAATTATAACATATTTTCTTATCCACAGTTGATGCTTGGTGACAGAGCAGAGCATATCGTAAATACCCATTACCCAGGAACTCCACTCTTTCTTACGTTTACTCTGGACATCCCTGCTAAACATCTGGAGGTAATTATCGTATTCTGTTGGTTACCGTACACTAACAACAATTGTACAATTAACTTAAATTTAGTAAACTAGGTGGAAGTCCGCCAATACCAGCTGTATATATCATGTATTTGCTACGTTTTATCTTTTACGTACATAAATTTCTGTGTTTTTGTGTTTTCCCAAGATTCCAGAAGAGTATGAAGAGGCTTATGCAGATATCGAAGATGATAGAACAAGGCAGTTTTATGGTATGTGCTGTAATTCTGTACAAGCATAGTTCTATCTAGGGGGACGACATTCCTGTCTTATGAAACATTAACTATAAAGCATTATTACTTCTTGTTACGATGGTAACTGTGTACACAACTAGAGATCCGCAAACATTCCTTCTGCGCTGGTCAG